TCCACGACCAATCCATTTATTTGCAAAGTGTTGATTTAAAAATTGCCTAGCCACTCGGCTAAAATGTGGCGGAGCTCCATCGTGGATAAACCGTATACAAAGTCTAATATGACTGGAACTTCCTCTAATTTCGCGTAAACGCGTGCTCAAAAAATCAACGTAATTTGTGCCTATTAGTTTCCCATCAAGAAAAAAAGGTCCAATTAAAAATTTATCAATTATTCCTGCCCATACGTTTAAACTAAACTAGTGTTGATGTCTTGAATGCACAATAACATGTGGGTTTTCTTCATCCCAATTATGATTATTATGAAAATGTACAATCGCTGGTAAAACTAGCTTACTAGAGTTTGCTCTGTTTATGAAATTCATTACATTTCATAAACGAAGACAGATATATATATAAATATATATATTTTTTCATTATTTTATTTTTGGGCGTACAATCAGCTACCACAAGTTACGAAACACCCTGTACATATATCCGAAAATGTTACCACAAGCCCGAGTTATATTTTCCTTCAGTAAGACCCGAAGTAGCGTCCAAGGAAACGTTCCCGAAGAAATTTACGTTGGCACAATGGCGGGATATCGGTGGGATCTAAAATAGAATTCCCGATTTCACCCACACGTCGTAACGCAGTTTTTTTACGATCGGCGACAAAACTCGCGCGTCGTTCTATCCGTGTCCTCTAGACAAAGAGATACCAATACTCGCGAATATCCTCGAGATTCACGGATATTCACGCTTCTTTTCTTCTATTCTCGTTTTGTTGCAGGTGGTATTACAATAGGAATCAACGGGAGGAGCCGGTGGAGGACTCGTCCGGTCATTACGTGGTGCGAGACGGTTCGCTGATCGTACAAGGCGTCCAGGAGAGCGACGCCGGATCATACATGTGCACTGCTAGTAATTCGGAGGGCAGCGAGTCTATGGAAGTGAGGTTAACCGTGTCCGCGCCATTGAACGTGCACGTTCAGCCGTCGATCCAGACAGTCGATCTTGGGAAGGTTGCTTATTTGGTAATTGATGATGTATGCACGTTACATCTGATCTACGTGAATCGCTTAGAAATGGAAACGAATGGGCTTCGTGAATCGATAGGACATCGCGAGTTGAAATTTATGCGCGAACCTAACCACTGTGGAAGTGAAGCGTTTGTTGGCCGCGAAATTTCGATGAAACAAGATTTCGAGCGTATCGTATTCTGATTTCAATCGCGATGGAAGAAAAATGGCGCGTGTAATGCAATTAGATCCATGGGACTCGTTCAGGAGTCGAAACGATCAGCTTTGTAAATCGATGAAACGTCGCGTATGAAAGTGAAACGTTTGTTAGCCGCGAAATTTAAATTTCAACGGAACAAGGTTTCAAACGTACCATACTCTGATTTCAAACGTGAAGGAAAAAAAAAAGTAATTAGATATTATACCTAATCTACGTGAATATCTCAAAAGAAACGATCAGCTCCGAGAACTGGCAAGACGTCGTGTGTTGAAATTTACAATCGAATCTAACACTATCCCTGCCGTACGGAACTAGTGTTTGTAACCCGCGAGATTCAAATTTCGAAGAAACATGATGTCAGACACGTACCATACTCCGATCGCGGAGAAACTACGGAGAAAAATACTTTACGGCGTGCGTAAAGCAATCTCCGCTCGGAGAGATTTATCTACCGGTAAATTCTTCGCTCGTATCCAAACCATTCGCCATCCGATAACCAAATAACCGGAGTAATCCGATTTTTTACGAGAGTCACCGACGAAAAGACGAAAAGCCTGATTTCGAGGCACACGACGGCGCTCGCCTTCCTCGCTCGCGGTGAATGGTAATCTCGTTTCCGAAAGAAGAACGGAGGTAAAAGGAACGCGGTGGATCCGAGGACATTCGGCAGAGCGCGTGTCGTGACGCGTCGCGTCGCGTCGCGTCGCGTCGCGTCGTCCGATACGGGCAACGCTCTCTCTCTCATCAGTCCCTTTTCTCTAAACTGCTTTTGCAGACGTGCAGCGCAAGTGGATTTCCGCAGGCGGCGCTGTACTGGCTGAAGGACGGTCAGCCATTGAGGACGGGCGCTCGCATAAGGGCGGTTTCCAGAGAACGAATTTCCGTGATGTCGGTTGCAAGAGAGGATCGCGGCATGTACCAGTGCTTTGTGAGGAACGAGTATGAAATGGCTCAAGGAATTGCGGAATTGCGGCTGGGCGGTGAGTCTTTGTTTGTTCACCGTTTACGGGCTGGCATATCGTATTGTGTACGTACGTACGTACGTACATAGGCGTGTGTTGTGATACACGCACGCTTGGTTATGATATCGTAGCGCGAGAGAGGCAACGAAAGATGAAAAAAGACCTGGCCTGGCCCGGGCAGAGCAAACGGGTTTCCCCCTCTCGTTGGTAATCTCGCGTGAAACGGCCGTGGATCGTTTTATTAAATCGTCGCCGGGCGTCGTTTGAACGGATATTCAAGATTGCCCGTTTAATTCTGTCCGCGTGCGTAATCGTCTTTTTCTTCGCGGCTCGGGGAATGGGGGCCCCACGTTCTAGCCGCGCGTAATATCCATTATACCGTTTAAACGATTTTGAGCAAGCTTCGTTCCACCTGTCTAACCCCTCCCAACTTTCCTCCGGACAGCTACGCTGGATAGAAACAGCTTAACGAACGGTCCGCGAAATGAAACGTTTAAAGGCACTCTCCGTGCGGCACGTCGTGCCATCTAACGACATCGTAGCTTTCAACTGCTCCGGCGTCGTCTTTCGTCGTCTTTCGTCGTCTTTCGTCGTCTTTCCGATGTGAAACTGACTCTCTCTCGTTAAATTCTCATGGACGGATTTACATCGCGTTCCGTCTCGACCACCGTCTCGATCGGATTCCACGTTGGATTCGATCAGTCGCGAGAAATCGGGAAACCTCTTGATCCTGGGAACCAAGTTTTCCTTTCTACCCTTCTTTTTCCTATTTCCTCGCCCCTTTCGCCCCGAGTTCGATTTGAGTTCACCTTTTCTTGGACGACGATCGAGGAGAGAGAGCGTGTTTGAAAGACAGTCTCGTAGATGGAGGAACGACGAAATGGGCGAGGGTTGCGCCACGGCGCAAGAGGGGCGGCGGAGATGGGGTAGACTTGTTTGTCGAGCGAATGGTTCCGCGGTGATAGGTTGCCGGTGGTTAATGCACTGGAACTCTTCCCCATACGATCCATTCCAGGTTTGCGTGCCACTCCATCGTAACGCGTTTTCCATCACGGAGCCACGCCACGGCTCTTTCCCTCTGGGGGAAAGTACGTGCCATTTTTGCGCGAAAATGGCCACATCGGTTTCCCGATCGTGCCTCGCCACGAAAATCCCTGTTTACCCTCCGTTAATCGCGTTCTCCGCGCATTGATTCTCCACGCTTTTAATTACTAAAGCTCCATCGTTACACGTGCTTTTAAAATTTTCGTTGCGATTAGCTGAATCTCTTTGTCGAATCAATCGCAATACTCGATCGTCGTTTCTCGTTACTGTACAAAATTTTATTCTATTGTCAGTAGATGGCGATGTTTATTAAATTTGAAGAAGAAAACGACATTATCTATGGGTAGCCCTGTTTCAAACGAACGTGTACAACAACGTTCGGTAGAAAATACTTAAACAGAAAATGTTTGACGAAAGTCACCTCGATGGAGAAATGAAACACGACTATCGTGATCGTGCAACTCGGAGGTTTCGGGCCGTGGCAACGACAAAGGGCGGACTTTCGACTGGTTGGCCTACAAACTACGCTTTCTTCTTCTTGCGTCCGCAGCCGACAATAAAGTGTGTCAAACGATTACGATCGACCGTTCGTGCCCAGACTGCATCCACAGTACTCCAAGTTACCAGATGCAGCTTTGGCTCCATTCGGCAACGCTTTGGCGCGGCGACGCGCGATAACGCGTTATTTCGATGTAAAACAGCCCCGGTTCGATCCGAACGGACTCGGAGCGGTGGAGATGCAGTCTTGTTTCTCCCCCTGCCCCTTCACTCCGCTTTTCATTCACTTCCGCGTATCGGTTCCCGTCATATTTCGACCAGCCGCCCGCGAATGCTTTTTCCATTAGCTGGAGCATCGAGCGTTGTTCTCCCGACTCGATCGCCCCCAGTGGAAAGAGTTACGGGCCCGAAGATTTCAATTAAAACACCTTTACCAAGGCAGATTGCTTTCGGCCGGCCCCGGGCACGGGTTACAGGAATAAAGTGTCTGTCGAGCGATTTCGCGCCTGGCGAGCTTCCTCTCACAGGCCGTGGTACGAGGCCTCGTTTCACCCTGTTTCATACCGTTTCACGGCCATCATTTCGCGTTTCGAAACCCTCTCGCTCCGCTCCCTCGTAACGTATTTTCTACACGCTGGCGTCGCTACGCCGCCGGCATCGCGCGCTATTTTTCCGCGAAAATGGCCTCGTTTGCTGTCCGCCCGTTCGCCGGTCCGCTCCGACGTGCCGCATTAATGCCCTATCGAGAACCACGCGATACTCGAATTTCCCAGGAAATACAATCAAGCCAATTTACCGTGCCTCGATTTTCCTTTTTTCCTCTCTTTTCTTCTTTTTTTCATTTATTCGCGATTCGGTCGGAATCACAAACGTGACAACGAGCCCCGTATCGGGGGCTCGAATTTTCGAAGGTAAACGACTGCGATTCCTGCCTTCCATTAAGTCCAATAAATTGGCGCGCTCCGTTTTTCTTCTTTCTGTCGTCTACGTGCCCTCGGCTTTCATCCTACTTCCACTTTTACTTGTTAAACTTACTTTTGTCTGACAGATTCCAAATTGGTAATCCGATCAATTACAAGACACGTAGTTAGTCGAGTATGTTAGTATTATACATATTACTTGTTGGTAACAATGGATTGTTGATCACTTGGTATGTGCGAGTGAGAGCCAGCAATAGCGAAATAAGAAGGCTGGCAATGGTAAAGCAATAGAAGAATGATTGAGATCGAGTGTGGCATGAGTGTGATCTAGTAGAAGCGTGAGAAGCAAGAAGCAAGCGATGCTGTGAAAGTAAAGATAAAAGTAAAACCAAAGACAATTCAACGATTGATATTTTGCGATAGTCTAAACATAGATTGTTATATTTAATGTCACGTTTATATTCCTTTCAATTGAAAGCATATTTTCAAACTTTCATTCTGCACCACGTCCAACATTGTTGTTATTTGTAAAATTCGATTTTGAAATATCTCCAACGGTACGGGGAAAATTAATTATTCTCTCGTTCATCGGACGCTTTATCTTTGTAAGTAAGGCTTGCTGAAACGATTTGTACGTTCGATGAAAAGTTTCCGCGCACTCTCTCTCTTTCTCTCTCTCTCTCTCTTTTTCTCTTTGTCATTAGCCAGACCAGCGCCCGATAACTTCGATGGCCGTTAAAACTTGAAGTTTTCTTTCCTGCCTCCTCTCGAACGAAAGAACGTTAGTTTCAGAACGTTTGATTGACGGTGGCCGAACGATACAATGGCGCTCGAAGTACGGTCCGGTTTCTTTCCACCGCGATTCAATAATCCATATCCCGCCGGAGTATCCAGCCAGTGGTGAAACTACTTCCTCCCGCGCCACACAGCCGTCCCCGATTGCTTCTTCCCTCCCACCGCGGTGGAGGGTAATTGAAGGGACGAAGCAGAGTCGGTCGCCGATAGCAAGGCGCCATAGAAACAAGAACAGGAGCAAACAACGGTAATGGATTCAACCTTTGAACGTTTCACCCGCAATTGCATCGGGCCGCAATAACTTGCCAGCAAGGCCGTCAGGTAGCCGCGCTAAGCGACTTTTCATTAGCTTTAAACGGCGCCTACGATCGCGCCGTTACTTCGTCGGCGTCGGCCGGCTCTTCTCTCTCGCATCTTCGGCTCCGAAGACTGACCAAGTTAGGTTGCTCTTTTTTTATAGAACGAGCCGTAATCAATTTCGTTAACGCCGGAATCGCGAAACCTCTCGATACGATCTTGTTTCAAAATCACCGTCGTACCATGACTCATCAACGAGCGATATCTATTCGCAGACAGCGACTCGTAGAAACTCGTTTGGTTTATTCGTAGAATTTCGTCGAGTATTATCGAAGCTGATTTTGTTACCTTGGCTCGAAGTTCGAACCGATACTCTTCGTAACTCGTGCATCGTATTTCAATGTTTCGAATTTAGAGACCAAAGAATTTCTGTTTGGTGACTGAAAAAAAAAAAAAAAAGAAAAAGGTAATTATGCCAATTACGACAATTTTTGTGATATCGACGTTGATTTTTATTTAGAGACGCTAGGAAGAAGAAGGGAGATGTCACTCCCTGGGGGAGGATTTTTCTAAAAAAAAAAAAAAGGAAAAAAGTAGCTTACACGCTGAAATCCATTTTTGTCAATTTCGACCTTCGTCCAGCGACGGTGACGAACATCGGGCGAAAACGAACGTCCCGAGATGGTTGGGATCGATTTTTCCAATCGACCGCTCAACCGCGTGACGCGTGTCGATTCTTACCATGTGCGTGTGTGTGTGTGTGTGTGTGAGAAAATTCGACGTGTCCCATTAGCCTGCCGTTGGAATTCTTCTCGGTCGCATGATTTCTAAGCTGCAGGGCATATAGTGTACATTAGGTGAGGGGGTAGGGGAGGGGGAGTTGCCCGCAGCACGATGGGATAGTTAGTACCGCCACCCTGGATTTGCATACGCTAACGAGATTCCTGCGGTTTTGCCGATGCTTTGCATGCCGACAGAGCACGATCTCTCGCTCCAGCCTGCGGGGCTCTGGCTGCGTCTATTTATTATGCGTCATAGATACGTCAGGAGGAAGAAGGCACGTCAGCCACGAGCGAGCAAACGAGATAGGGTTGGCTGCAGCCGAGTACGCGCGAAAGAGACACACGCTGGAGCATCGTGTTGGTAGTTACCGCAAGTAGTCGCGTCCTCGAGAAGCGAATGTCGCGCTTCGTTCGCTCTATTAAGCGTGCCGTTCCATTTTGGACGGAAAATTCGTCGTATCAGAAACCACGTTTCCAGCAATTGCGCCGCTTTCGATGCACGAGCGGTATATATTGGGAAAGTTTCGGGGAAAATATTTGCCGGTTTGTAAGGAAAGCTTACTCGCGAACTTTATCGAATCAAAGCTTCTATCGTGCAGTAATTTTGCATTTATTGTACGTTTCGTGTACGTTGATCGTGCAATATATGACGGAGAATAAGAGAGGAGAGAGGCGCGTTCGTGAAATTGATTCCGTATACGTGTCAACGTGGCGAGCGAGATTTATCGTTTATCGTAAAAATGTCGTTTGCTATTGCTGTAGAGATTAAATATAAATAATATTAAATATTTATTAAATGCCAGCGACTGAACAATAGATAATCAAACAATGTAATGAACACAAATTAACAAGTAATGAACGCGGTCGCAACTCGAGCAAACTCTTTTTAAACAACTCTTTCCCACAACTCTGTTTTCAACTCGTTCGACTCTCTACTTTTTCAAAAAGTGAACCGCCTCGCGCCAACTCGCCTCATACTTTCTTTTTCTTTCATGCTACGGGCCATGCAGGTTATAACTAAATGCAACTAAAGATATAATAACTACTAGTTGTGACTTGATAACGATACTGTATTGCAAACGAATATCTCGCAGTTCGAATTTATTTAAGATCAATTTTCATTGACCTACATATATATTTCACACACGATATCTTTGCGCTTTGTTCGCCGCTTATCCGCCGCTTGTGGCCACGTATCGCGTACGTACGGCGATCCGCCGCGGGCGACCGGCTCGCCGCGATTATATTCAAGAGACGTGCAATTAAACGGTCGAAACGAAATTCGGATAATGGCCTCGGCGTGAGATACAAGTTCGTGGGTTCGAGCAAGTTCGGCCTTGGTTTACGGATGTAATAAGAACGAGTTACGGGCACGAGAGGGCAACGTTCAGAGAGAAAAGGCCGTACTTTAAATCGAGGCTGGAAACTGGAGAAATTTCTTCTTTCCTAAACGGACGGCGGCTTGCAGGGTGGGCTGAGAGGAGGGGCGGGAAATGAAGTTTCTCTCCGCGAGGCGAGTCGGCCTGCGCAGATTTTTAATTTAAATTACCAGCACCGGCTAGCGAGGCCGGCTCCGCCAGAGTACTGGTTATATTTGACGACAGCCACGGCTATTATTTACACGGCGATTCTCGTTTTCTTTCCAGGCGAACGATAAACAAGCGGTCTACCCTGTTAACGTTTCATTAACATCAACCTCGTTCGCTGAACCACGGCGCTTTCGGCCCCGACGAAAGTGTCTCGGGTAACGCCAGCGAAAAACCGGGTGTTGATCGTTGGAATTAAACTCTTAAACGAGAGGAGAGATTTTCACAGGGTGAAAACGTTTCCGGAGGAATTCTCTCCGCGAGAGAAAATCACCGAGAAATAATTAATGCTGTCGGCTGTTCGATTTGTATAATCTCGTAATAAATACGATCCTCGAGAATGGTATGAAGAAAGGGGAACGTTTTCTCTTTCTTACTTTTTTTTTTTTTTTTTTTCGTTTTCCAAGCCGTTTCAGCAAACAGGCAACCCCGAAGCAGGATGCTTTTAAAGATT